TGCCCAGAGAGTGACTCCTTTCCAGGGCCAATTGAGGATCTTCCTGTCAGACTCACTCTTAGCACACTGCCTCTTCTCTGGGATCTCTCAGTGCTGACCAAGGACTAGGTAGGCTTGAACCTTCCCCTTTGCCCAGTACAGTTTGTCTCTGGGCAGGGTGGGGTAAGATAGGGGAGCTGCCTCCTTCTTTGGGCCTACTCAGGCACTGAGTTACTCCTGGCCACACTGGATCTGCTGAGCTTACTGTCACCCTTCCCTGTGTTGCCTAGGTGCCACGCACCCCCTAGTCCTACTGTCCTTTCCAATCTCTGAACCATGTGGCACTCCCTTTGAAGGCAAGCAAAGTTCCCTTTACAGCCCTGTCACTTGGGACAAAGTTCAGGTGAAGTGGGTGCCTGTTTACCCAGTGGCTTTCTTGTTAAAGATAGTTGGACTTTGGTGCTCCCCTAATCTGAAGAGGTTTAGTTCAGGCCAGTGGATTAGAGCTGGGGAAGAGGGCTCTGTACCTGCTTTGGGTTGGTAACAGTATCCAAGGTCATAGGGACTTGTCTGAGACAGAGGAGATTGATTCAGACCAAGTAAAGACCAAGAAGCCCATCTAAAATGTTAACACTTGGACCATGGAGGTGCTCAGCAGTGGTCACAAAGCTATATTGACTCTGTAGCCCTGCCCCTGTGTGCAATATATCCTCTATGGGAAGCAAAACAATCAAGAAGATGCTCCCTGGGTATGTGTTAAACAAACATCTTGAGTAACTCCTACATTGAGAGATGCCACAGTCCCTGACTTCCATTTGATTTACTCTTGCTTTATTCACAGTTCTATAGGAAGTCAGAGTTCTCTGACACCATCCCTACAAGTTTGATGTGCCCTAGGTAATGTCTCTCATGGTCTGAATCATTGCCTTGGACCTCTCTCACTGCCTTCTTATGACTCCAAGACTTGAGTTTCCTTTCTACAGAGATTGTGGCTTACTGACAGTGGTCTCATGATGTACACTGGGCTTGATACACAGAGGGAGTCTGATAAATGCAAGATGGTACTAGCCTTAGTTTATTCCTGGGACCTGAAATCTGAAAGTGCAAAAAAAGGATTACAGTAGTGTGTGTGGCTGGAGTGAAGGAGGCAAAAACCCATTTGGAGCAGACATGAAGGGTTAGGTACTCAGGAAGAGCAGATAGCTCTGGAGTTAGAGTTTCCAAGGTCCCACAGCTGTGGATGGGCTGATGTTCCTGAGGGCTTCAGGTCCATGAGCAAAGACCAGACAGGGCAGCCTTGAGATTGCATAGAGATCTCCATGGGGAAAGGTGTGAGAACCACCCCCTCAGCTCTTAGAAGCCCACGCCAGGATACTTCCTTCCCCCAGGTCCCAACAGATCACTGTCTCCTTCCTGCTGTCTGGAGCCAATGGAGGGTTTCTTATGCAGGATATAAGTGGAGTTTTCATCAAGATTAAGGTGCTCGTGTTTGAGGAGTTATGTGTATCCTAAAATGAGGGGACACAGACATTGTGTCTCTCTCTGGGCACTCAGCTTGATTTATGTACTCTGGATACACTAGTGCAACTGTTACTCTAGTGCTTTTTTATTTAAAAAAATCATGTGGTGAATGAGACAGAATATGAAAGTATCTTTGGGATTATGAAGGAAATGAACAAATAGCTTCTTTTCCATGCAGTATCCCTTGGGACCCCCCCAAGGCAGAAAAGGAGAGGAGGCTGGAGTATGAAGCAGGCGTCCCCTGGTGGTAAGGGCACTGCATCTGGAACCACAGGCAAATGGCAATTCTAGTTAAATCCAGCCGGGGATCCTCTAAATGGCAAACTGTCCATTTCTCTGGGAAGCTGCACCCCGGGGGAAGGAATGGGACCTCACTTTTCTGTGCTACCACGGTAACAAGACACCTCCTTAGGAGGCCATTTTTGTTACTGGAGCCAAGTTCTTGTATCTGGAAACCACAAGTATAAGACCTGAGGAATACAGGCAAGGCTTTTATTGAGATATTTGCTTGAGCAAGACCAAAGTTCCAAACAAGTCAAGTTACACCAATGGCCCTCTGAATCGATGAAAAAAGAACAGCTAACATAGGAAGTGTTCCCATAAGGGTTTCCATCCAGGCCTTACATGCACATAAAGAATTCAGATTTGCAAGGCATGGCTAGTCAGTATCTGAGCTTAGGTATATGTAGGCAACCCCCTGGTCAGCTTTGGCTACTAGGATAAGGCAAGTTTTCAGGAGACAGACAGGTTTCATCTGTTAGAGGGTTGTGTTTGAAGCTGTTGTATTTTTAACTCTGGGGCTGCATATGAGTTCTTGGTCTCCATTGATGTCCTGGTTCGGCTTTGTTGTAAAAGCACAAAGCAAGTATGATCGTTGTGGGGGGCCATCCCATCATCTAATTGTTATATGCCCATTTTGAGTGCCTCCCAGGTGTCTCAGCTATCTCAGTTGTAGGGTGAAGGAGAAATGCTTAGCACTTAGACTGCACCCTCTTTCCTGTCTGTGGCTGGCTGGCCATGCATGAGGGTGCGATGGTAAATCAGCTTCAGAGGCTTGACTAAAATAGGTGCCCCCCTCTTAGCTGGCTGGTCCTCATATGGGCCTTGGAGTTACCACCATAGATGTCTGTCCTTTCTCTGATGGCTCATGATTAGTTTGTATTACTTTTCCACAAAAAGAAAAATAAACATGAACACTCCAGTAGACAGGAAAGGATAGTGACATCTATTAAGAAACTAGTAAATATGTATGTGGAATGCAGTTCTATCAGAAGATTCCCCCTCCCCTGATTATTATCTACAGAGGCTCAGTGACATGCTTGAAATGACACAGAAAGTTCAAGAATGGAATGAACTTCTATGTCCTACAAGTCACAGGGCTTTCAGAAGCATGACTTGTGTTAAGGAGATACCAGAAATTTGCATTAGGGGACATAGTTTCTTCTCTATCCCCAAGGCAGGATGGAGTGAAGGAGGAGGTCTCTTTCAATGGCCCCACCCATTCTGGGCAGCTCTCACTCTGAGACAGCATACTCTATGTTAGTAAATGGATGGAGCGGAGCATCATCTCAGCACTCAGATGATTGGACTAGCCTTGACCCTTGACCTGAGGGCAGCCAGTCCATGGGCTGGCAAGAGTGTGGTAGGGAGAGAGCCACACTCAGCAGGAAGGACAGTCTTCAGACCAATCAAATCTTCTTGGGGGTGTGACTTTAAGAGACAAAAAAAGGAACCTGTGTGGCAGGAAGACCCAGCATACTACAGAGAGGCAGAGACACAAAGCAGCCAAGTTTCAGGGAAATAGCACTTGAAGGAATGGCCACTCCCCTATACCAGGACACAAGATGGTTTCTTGGTCCCATGAAAACATGGACAAACATGGAAACATCCTTGTGCTTATTTAAGCCTGGCTTAATTGTGCAGGCTTTCTCTGCTGTCGTGCAAGTGAGGAAACACAGTAATTGTGAGACATGGGCAGGGTCATGCAACTGGTGCGTGGTGAGCTTAAGTTTGAATTCCTGCAGACTGAGCCCTTCCACTCAATGACTGTTGCAGGAGTAAATGTGCCTGCGTACTTGAGGCCAGCCCAGGGCCCTCCTAGGATTGTTGCATCTCTCTTCTGTTCTCCTCTTGCTTGCAAGATGTTATGCACACCTACTATCTTTCCAGCCCCATGTCTCTGCTCAAGTAGAATTCTCAGCCATAACCAGCCACCTACCCACCATCTTCAAGTGTCCATTCCTCAGGCAGAATTGAGTCCTTTCTCGTCTGTGCTCTGTTTAAAGGTGGCATTAGTTCTTTTTTTCTTCACTTCTTTCAGTTGTCTGCTTCACCCTTATCTACCCCTACCCCCATCTATTTACACCACCTCCAGGCTGGGTATTGGTGGCTCATGTCTATCATCCTAGCTACTCAGAGATCTGAGATTTGAGGATTGTGGTTTGAAGCCAACCCAGGCAGAAAAATCTGAGACTCCATTAACCAATAACAAGCCAGAAGTGAAGGTAAGACTCAAGTGGTAGACTACCGCAGCTATAAGAGCACAAGGCTCTTAGTTCAAGCCGTGGTACCAGCATAATGTAAAATAGGATACGACAGTGTAATCGAGGGGTGACTATAAAATTTATGCACACAAAGAAACTCCTCCATGCAATTAATATATACTATTAAAAATTCAAAAAAAGAAAATCAGACCTCAACGTGTAGTGTTTTCAAACCACAGCAATATAGCAATGCACTGATCTGCTCAGCAATCTTCAGGTGTGGCACTGCTCAGCCGTTTCTCTCCAAACCTCAGATTCCCCCCCCCCCCCCGCCCCCCACTCTCTGTATGTGCTGGTATTGTGGCTTGAACTCTCAAGACCTAGGTGCTGTCCCTTAGCTTTTCCACTTGAGCCACAACTCAACTTCCAGCTTTCTGCTGATTTATTAGAGGAGGTAAGAGTCTCACGGACACAATTCTGTCCAGGCTAGCTTTGAACCTCAATCCTAGCTTTGAGCCCTAGTCTCTTTAGTAGTTAGGATTACCTGTATGAGCCCTCAGCACTGAGTTAGATTTACACTCTTGAAAATAAATACCAGGAAGCATGACGCCTTCGGTTACATTATGCTTCTTTCTGCCCATGATTTGCATTCTCCTGCCAAGGGATGCTCAGAACTGACTTCCTGGAAGTGGGAGAGAAAAATGGTCTGAGGATGAAATACAAATGGCACCTCAAGAAATTACTCTGCCCACCAGCTTTGCATTTGGACTCCAGCGCTGAAGCTTCTTGTGAAGTGGTCCCCAGGGCTTGTTGAGTACATCTGTTTCTTCCTGACTCCTCAGGCTCAGTGACATCATGCTGGCACTTCATGGTTTCAGGGCGTTTCCTCCCCGGGAGCTAGCATCCATGTTCACCAGCACATCCCTGGCCAGGCAGGAGCTATGGCCAGTAGCAGCAGCACTTCAGAGATGAGACAAAGCCAACCAGAGCCCCTTCTCCTTTGTCAAGTTTATTTTATTAAAATATATAGGACTGAAGACTTGGTGGGCACTGAGACAAGAACCACCCTCCCAGGCCATGTCCATGGGAGACACTTCTGCCATGCAGACATGCGGCTGGCCTGTGTCCCAGCATGGGGGACAGACCCCCTCCTGTTGAATGTGTAGCCACAAGACCAAAGGGGGCGGGGGACAGGGGAAAAGTGGTGGTCTTCTCCCATGGCCTTGGCCCTTTGCAAGCACAGCAACCCCTGCTGTAAGGTCTGAGCTGAGGATGGTGAGAGGGAGCGGGGTCCTGAGACTCTCCCTCAGACCCTGAAGCATAGAAAACTGGGGCACTCCACAGCTGGGGAGAAGGATCCCCTAGTCAGACTGAAGATGGGGTGTCAGTGCAAGTCTGAGTAGGGAGGCCCACCTGTATGGGGGTCACAAAGCTCCCACAGCCCTGGCCATTCTGCCTTTCCTCTGAAGATCCTGCTCTCGTTGGGCCAGCCTTGTGTGGATGCCCTAGGACTCCTGGAACCAGGCCTAAGTGGAGACTGGGCTGTGTGATGGAATGTATCATGTGGGAATGTTCCTGGGGAGGCCTGTGCTGCCTGGGCCTGGACAGGGCTCCTTCTCAGGAAGGCCAGGACAGGTGGGAGTAGGAGCTCTCTCCTCTGCAGAGTTCTCTTGACCTGCCACCCAGCTCCAGGCCCCCAGCCCTCACTGTTGGTTCTGAGTGGACATGGGCAGACCCTAGCCCAGTAGAATGCCTTGGTTTGTGCTTTTGAAGGTTGGTGAACTGGGCTGGAATGGCCTTCAAGACCCCACTGCCCTGAGGTACAGGTCCCCTAAGCTTCCTCCTCAAGGCCACCGTATTAGGGCTGCCGGGACCCAAGCCTCAGCCAGAAGTGTCTTGCTCTGGTAAAGCCGAATTCTTGGTTCCCCTTCTGGGCATGGCCTGAGCTTCTGGGGCGCTTGTGCTTTTTATACAGGTTGGAGTGAGGATGCTCACAGAACTTCAGGGTGGGAGCTTGGCCAAGTCACTGTGCTAAGGGACACAGGTGGCAACGAAGAGGAGAGGGAAGCCCCTTTTTAAGCCCCTCCCAGCATGGCCTCCTGGCTGCCAGTCCCTAAGCCACAAGACTTCCTCCCAAGACCTAGGGAGGATAGCCTGGTGCTGGCAGAGGGGGGCAGCTCCACCCCTGCCCTCCATGCAGCCAGGACTGGAGCTGGCAAACTATCACTTCAATTTCCCACAGATTCTCCAGGACACTCAACCCTTGTCCTGGGATGGAGTGAGGATGGACTGGTAACTCTTCATCCCCCATGCTTGCCATAGTGTGGGGCCTGGCACAGTCCCCAGTTTAACTCTAGGTTTAAACTCTAGGTTTATGGAACAACTGGGTCTCAGGTCTTCCAGGGGGCAGGAGGCTCTGCCTCCATCTCTTCCTCCTAATTAGAGCCCCTATTGAGCTTTTCTGAGGGCATAGGTTGGAGGGCAGGGAGTGGACTGGTTCCCTGTGTTGGGGGAAAGGAGAAGGGACTCTCCTACAAGAGGGGCCTGTGCAGTGGAAGCCATGCCTCCTGGGCTCTTGAGCCACATCATTCTAGGTCACATCCAGCAACTGACAGATGGGCTTCCCCCCAGAGGCAGCTTTGTCTGACTGGCCTGGGGGCAGCTCTGCCCTCCTGTCTTCCACCACCCCTCTGCCAGCCCAGAGGAAGTGTGTGTGTGTGTGTGTGTGTGTGTGTGTGTGTGTTGGGAGCGAACTGCTCATTTTTTGCAAATATATTAGAAAAATGTTTCTATGGAGGCTGAGGTTTCTTGGGGCTGGAGTGGCAATTGGCCATCACCCAGTGTCCCTCTCCCACATGTCCTAGATGACATTTTCAAACAGCTGCATGGAGCTCATGATATTTTCATCCTGTGTGGAGAGAGGGAGGAGAGGCCTGGTTAGAATACTTGGTGGCCAGGGAAGGCTGGTCCCCAAATTTCATTCTACTTGAGCAGATTCCTGTATGGGACTGGGTCTTGCTGGAGGAATGAGGTGACGGTGGAAGCATTGGTCCCCAGTCACCATGCTGACAAGGCACAGCCTGTCTTTAAGCCTGAGGACTGACCCAAAGCCCAGACCTTCTTAGTGGCATGCCCAGTTAGGCCAGGGGCAACTGAAAGGCCACCTGGGAGTGAGGCAGGGGAAGGGAGGAAGGATAGGGAGGGGGTAGATCTGGGAGAAGGGCCTGCAGCAATGCTAGGGAAGTTCTGGGTGCCGTGGCCCCAGCATGGCCCTTGGAAGGTCATGGGGCTGCTCACTCTTGGATAGGAGATGCCTGTGCAGGGGAGGGTGAGAGAGATGGGCTGGTAGGAATGGGCAGAGGGTATGTGGGTAAGAAATAAGAGGAGATGAACCTGCAGGAAAGTGAACACAGAGCTTAGAAATTCTTCTGACCCACCTGCCCAGGAGATAGAGAGGAGCCTAGGACAGCTACTGGCTTACTCCTAGGGGCAGGACCAGATGGGTGTCTATGAGGGCTCCACATCCAGCCTCCTGATGTCACCTACCTTCTGACAGGTCTCCAGAAACTCATCAATGGTCACAACCCCATCCTGGTTCCGGTCCATTTTCTGTAACCCAAGCCATACCCAAGCTAAATGCGTTGTGGACTCACAGGGGTATACCCTCCAGGGTTAAACCAACCATCTTCTAGTGGTGGACCCACGGAGGTTGGACTCTGTAGGGCTGGAACCTCCAGTGGTGAACCTCCAGGGGAGGTCTCTGACCTCTTCCTCAGGATGCTGTGGTGAGTGGGTGGTGGACTTCTTCCAGTCCAACTAACTTTGGATAAGCAAAGTTCCACTCCCCACTCCCTACCAAAGCCACCTCCTGCCCTACAGCTGACCTCCAAGTCTGCCCCATTCAGTGCTTTCCTGATGGTCTATCGGGACTTGTACTCCCAGGATTCATCTCTATGCTTGCTTGACCCACTCATTTCATGGAGAAGTAGCCAGGGCAGATGGAATGATCACCAAGACACAGAATGGCTGCAGATCTAGAGCCCCCATTAAGTGAGAGCCAGAGTCTTCAGGCTCCCAGTCTTTCAGGCTTGCAAGGACACAATGAAAGGCAATCCAAATACCACTCATCCCCTAGACCTGTTTCCAGTAGGAAGTGGGAAAGTCTTGTCTAGAAGAGGGCATCACCTGCCTGGAAATGACAAGCCTGGAAAGCTCCACCTGTCTTGAGGTCAGTGGGACAGGGTCTGGGTTTTAAGTCACTCCTCAGATTCTGAACACTAACTAGGGTAAGGCACCAAGTTGCCCCTCCTTATGGGAAGAGAGTAGGTGGCCCCCAAAGCAAGTGCTCCTTCCTCTGCTGGGGTCCCCTCATCCAACACTGATGCGGCTCACTCACCTGGAAAAACCTCTCCACGTGCTCCAGAGGGGCATCTTCTCGTAGGATGGGGTATGTGTGGCGACCCATCATGTCGTAGATGGACTTCATGATGGCCAGCATCTCCTGGGCGGGAAGGCAGAACAGGAAAAGGAGGGCAGCCTGAGCAGAACACTGGGCTTTGAGGGCCCATTGGAGGGGGCTGCCTCACAGGTCCAGGAGCCAATTCCAGGGCAAAGGGGGGGTCATGGCATCTGAGGAGAGACAAGCTGGCTCCTCTGGTGTCACCAGCACCATCCTCTGACTCTCCTTGAGAAGTTGGAGATAGATTGTTATTTACCAACTTCCTAAATTTATAACCACAGCAAGGATTTCAGATTAAAAAAAATCTTTGGGCCAAACAAACAAAACCCATCTGTGGGTCTCTGTAGTGAGGGTCTGTTGCACCTCCTGCCTTAGGGGGCCACACTATCGTTTCTCATGGGAGGGGCCAAACCTGGACCCCCTAGCTTTTCTGCTGTCTCTATAGGCAAGAACTTTTGGAACTGGACCAAGATGTGTGGTGGTGGCCGCACCCAAGGCCCCACCCTTTGCCCAGGTGTTCAGGACCCCAAGTCCTAGAGGGGAGGAGTCCTCACAGGTTTCTGTGCCCCAAGGTTAAGCAGGTAGCTGCCATGGCAGGGATACAGTAGAGAGGGGGAAACGAGGTAGGGCATGGAGTGGCAGGCAAGCCAGTGACCCACCACCCTGGTACCTCTTTGGTAATGTAGCCATCCTTGTTAATGTCATAGAGGTTGAAGGCCCACTTGAGTTTCTCATGGACTGTTCCTCGAAGCAGGATGGAGAGCCCAACCACGAAGTCCTACAGTGGAAAGGGATGGTGAAGAGTGACAAGCCAATGCCCAGGTTCCATTTCCACTGATGTGGTATCAGTGAGCACTGGGTGCACACAGGTGCACCCACATATCTGAGCGCAGGAACCATGTAGGAACTGAGACTGAGCTCAAGTAAAGCACTTCCGTGTTTGAAGTCTTGGAGTGATTGTCTACATTGCTGTGGACAGAGAAGAACTGGGGTGCTCTTGAATTCAGGGCCTTGTGCTTGCTAGGCAGGCACTCTCTCTCATGAGCCATGCCCCAGCCCTTTGGCTTTAGTTTTTCAGATAGCGTCTTGTGCTTTTGCTAAGGCTGGTCTTGGTCAGTAATCCTTCTAACTCCACCTCCAGAGCAACTGGGATTACAAGTGTGTACAACCACACCCCATACTTTGGAGAGCTTTTAAAATAGTGTACTTTACTCTCGGTTCCCCAGCATCTGCATGTTGAAGGTGCTTAAAAACTTCCAGCTTAATAAGGTAAACTAAAGGTGTTCAACTCCTGAGTGTTATCTGTGGGCTGACCTCACCTATGGGATGTGGCAGATGATATATTACCTAGGTGATAGGTTATGCCTATTCAAGTGATCTCCATGTACAAAATTTTTGTTATAGTAATTGGTAGGAAGTAAGTTTTTCTCACACCTTCCGGAAGGTTTGATAGTTAGGCCTTCCCTTCCCCATTAGGTTCTTGGGCTACTTTGAAAGCAAGGGGTAGCCATCTGTAGAGGGACAGGGCCAAGCCACAAAGGACTCAGTACCTATTGAACTATTAGATTTTTCTAGATATGAGAAAGCCTGCGTCATGAGAGAAAATGACCAAGGGAAACAGAAAAGCAATTTGGAAGAATAAAACGTTATTCTAGGAGAGAAAAAGAAAACTTAACAGAAACTATTAAATTCAGAGTTTAGAAATACCTTCAAACAAGAACAGGAGGCTATTAAAAAAGAGGAACAGGGCCTGGAGGTGTAGCTCAAGTGGTAGAGCTCCTACCTAATAAGCACGAGGCCCTGAGTTCAATACCATCCAGTACCACTAAAAAAAGCAGGTGGGTCTCTCACAAAGTAGAATAAGAAGCTAAAGAACTGTTAAGTAGGAAAGGGGACACTGAGAAGTACATTCCAGAAGGGCCAACATGAGACATGAGTTCCAGAACCAGAGAAAAGGCAGGAAAACACGTCAGAGAAACCAGGATTTCCTAGAACAAAAGGTTAAGAGCCCCCCTACCACACCAGGCCAGGGTGTACATGGGGTGCTCAGCAGAGACCTGAGAAGGTAACTCAGCATGCAAGCAGGCATGGAAAGTGACTGCCTTGGAAGGGGATGAGACATGCCCTTGGAGGACAGCACTCATTGGTAGCCAGGTATATCCTGCTGGACCAATAATAGGAGAAGCAGCTCACTGTGGGTGGGGGTTGGGGATGGTACAGAGAAGTGGCTACACTCACCAGACACTCACTGTCCTCAATTTTCAAATGAGCAGCTCAGCCAATGCCACTTCTAACCCGGACATATTGGGTACTGAGAAGGCATCAACATCAAAGGCTCGTTTGGAAAGTGTGGAGGGCTCAGGAAGGTATTCCTTCAGCCAGAAGGCTTCAGCACTAACACCCTCATCTCAGCTTCTGACAGAGCCTGCTCCTTCAAAGACCTACACTTTGAATGACCACTAGACTCCTCCCTCTGCAGAAGTGATGAGCATAGGAGGGAGGGAAGGATGACCATGACGTTGCAGACCGCTGGCTGTACAAACCTGCCAATTCTCTCTGATCATCTTTCCCCTTCTTTTTTGTGCTCACTGGTATTTTCCACATGCTAGGACATTGGTATTACAGATGTAATAAAAAGCCTAACACTGTGCTCACTAAGCAATGGTCCTTCCAGTCCAGAGGGAGGGGGCTGTGGTCACAGAGCAGGGCCGGGACCGCCGGCTGCCTGCGTCCATCCAGTATGTCAGTGTGTGGCAAGCACAGTGTAAAAATAAACCTGGCTATGTTATTGATGAGTTATTATTACACCCGGCTGGTGCAGCCAGGGCCCTTCTGAGCCAGTTGCCTGCTCGGCTGCTTTCCTGTCCACTGCCCTTGGCCCTGGAAGCTGATCTGGGCACTGATCGATCAGACCGGGCTCTCAGTGAGGTTTTCCTCTCTGAAGAGGTTTCAGCTTTTTGCCTGCAGCTATTTTTAGGGGCCTGGGCTCCACAGATGGAGCCGCTCTGAAATGATCCCATGTGGCCAGGCCTGGGAGGAGCGTAGGCAAGGCCTTCCTGGGGAAAGCTGTCTGGTGTGGTGGGAAAGGGCTCTGGTCTCCTTCCCAACCTTGAGAAGGAAGTGGCTTCACTCTGAATCCAGCTGGGATGACTGTCCCAATTGTTCAAGTTGCTTTCTGGATGTTTCTGGCCCATTCATTCATTCATTCACTAAAAGTACATTGTGACTTGAAGTCCCGCTATGAGCAATCCAGATCTCTGGAATAAACTCTGACCCCTTTAAAATTGCAAATTAAAAAATGTAAATTTATAGCCTGGCACCGATGGCTCATGTCTGTAATCCTCACTGCTCAGGAGGCTGATATTTAAGGATCTTGATTCGAAGCCAGCCTACTCAGTCAAGTCTGGAAGACTCTTATCTCCAATTAACCAGCAAACAAACAAACAAAAAACAAAAAAACAACCAACCTAAAAGTTGGGGATTGGCTCAAGTGGTGGAGTGCCAGCCTTGAGCCAGTAAGCTGAGCAAGAGTGTGAGAGTGTCAGCACTCTCCCACCCGCCTTCTCTTTATATATAATAAAATACAAATTCATGTTGGATCACATTAGTATGCATTCATAGTTCCCTTGGATGATAGAGCTGGACTCAAACTTCTGGAATAGAAAAGAAGGCTGAGAATACAGTGGACACAAAATCCTGACCCAGCCAAGCAGCTAGCTTAGCAGCCCACCCTTTCCCACTGAGAGGTTAGATCATTCCCCCATCTCAGCAGCACTGAGGGGGTGGCAGCAGGGAAGGAGATCATTTTGCAGGCCACAGGGGCAGGCATGTGGGACCTACCTCGAAGTGGATGGCCCCGTTCCCATCAGCATCAAAGGCATTGAAGAGGAAGTGTGCGTAGGTGGTGGCATCTGAGGGCAGCAAGGTGAGGCTGGGGTTGGGGGTGCTGCCTCGTGGGAGGCCATCCCCCGCCTCAGGCAGCCCCCCCACCGGGGGCTCCAGCTTCACCCTGGGTAACAGGCTCTATTCTAATGAGACAGAGGCAGTAGTGGGCTTCCAGAAGTGAGGGGCAGGAAGGGAACAGAGTGGCAGTAGGGTCTGCTCAAATGAAGGGGGTACGGTAGGGAAGCCTGGCCTTGGACTCACCTCCCTGAGGGAAGAACTGTGAGTAAATGAGTTTGAAGGTGTCTTCATCCACCAGGCCTGTGGGACACTCCTGCAGCGGGAAGCCACCTTACTCAGTGACCTCAGTCACCATATGTTCCTCCCCGCCCCCAGCTCCGCCCCTGACTCTACAGCCTGGCTTCTCCTCTGCCCTTTCTGCAGGACACCCACTGCCTGCGGTACCTCTGGGAACCACTGATCAGGAAGCCCGGGTGGGGGTCCGGGAGAGACAGGGGGTGGACAAGAAGGTGGTGGCTGGCCACGTCGCGCACATTCTACAGAGACAGGAAGGGGTGACCTTCACATGGGCCTTTCCCATCCCCATCCCCACCCCAAACAGCTTTTGCAGAAAACAAGAGTCCTATAAAGGCCTCTAGGGTCCTCACTGTGCTCTGGAGAAGTTTCTAGAAGACTCCCTGGCGCATGATCCTTCCTGTTTGGAGTCAGGTAGGGCTGGATCTCCAGGGCCTCTCCTGGAGACACAGGAAACACTCACATTCTTGAAGCCTCGGTAGAGAGACTGAAGCTCCTTCTTGGTGAACTTGGTTTGTGCCTGCAGCTGGTCTAGGCCTTCTGGCTGATGGCGCACTGTGGACAGTTCCAGCTCGCTGTCACTGCTGTCTGGAGGGAGACACAGACCCAGAAGGGAGTGATTAATGGACAGATGCCAGGACGTGGACTGAAGGTGGGGGTGGGAGAACTCTTGGATGACCTCCATTGATAGCCTCACATGATGTGCACTGCACAAATAAGGGGCCATGACTGACCGGTATGCTCACGAGTCATTGCTCCTGGCTATTCTGCTTCCCTCCTCCCAGACAGATTAGGTCTTCCCCACTCGCTTCTGTCAGGGCGTGCTCACCCCATCAGTTGGGAGTAGGGGCTAGTCTTGTTCTACAGAGTCACTGAGTAAGGAAAGGCAGGAGGAAAAAGACAACACAACAGGCCCAAGTGACCCTAAAGCTTCATCCACCTCATCCACGCAGCCCTCCCTGACTTCACCCAGAATAGGAAGGGGACCCTTCTTGTCTTGTTTCAACCTCCCGCACAGCTGCACAGCCACATCTGCTGCAGGAATATATTCCATTTGGGTAGGTCGGATTTTCAGAGCCCATAGGGCAGGGTCCAGACCTTTTTTTTGGGGGTGGGGGGGTCCGGTCGTGGGGCCTGAACTCTGGGCCTGAGCACTGTCCCTCAGCTCTTCAGCTCAAGGCTAGCGCTCCACCACTTGAGCCACAGCGCCACTTCCGGCTTTTTTCTTTTTGCTTATGTGGTGCTGAGGAATCGAACCCAGGGCCTCAGGCATGCAAGGCAAGCGCTCTACCACTGAGCCACCTTCCCAGCCCCGTGGGTCCAGACCTTTCTAAGAACAACACACAAAAACCTGAGCTATGGCTATCTTTGGAGCAAGGTAGGACTTCAGGTGATTTTTCCTACTTTGGAAATTAAAAAAAAAAAATATCTTTGACTTTCTTTGGTATGGCACGTTATCATGTTTACAGGGCAAAATAAAGCTGTAGAGAAGGGAGCATTCAGTGCCTACTCTTTGGTGGAAGCAGAATTCTTTCTCTTTCTCTTCTTTATATTCCAGTACTGGGGCTTGAACTCAGGGCCTGGGCACTGTCCTTTAGCTTTATCACTCAAAGATGGTGCTCTACTACTTGAACCACAGACCCATTTCCAGTTTTTTTGCTAGTTAGAGATAAAAGTCTATTAGATTGGGGCTGGGAAGGTGGCTCAGTGGTAGAATGCTTGCCTTACATGCATGAGGCCCTGGGTTCGATTCCTCAGTACCACATAAGCAGAAAGAAAAAAGCCGGAAGTGGCACTGTGGCTCAAGTGGTAGAGCGCTAGCCTTGAGCTGAAGAGCTGAGGGGCAGTGCCCAGGCCCAGAGTTCAGGCCCCACAACTGGATCCACCCTCCCCCCCAAAAATAAAACAGCTATTAAAAAAAAAAAGTCTATTAGATTTGTCTGCCTGAGCTGGCTTCAAACTTCAATCATTAGATCTCAGCCTCCTAAGTAGCTAGGATTACAGGTGTGAGCCACCGGCACTGGGCAGCATGCTTCTATTGGAGACCGTTGCTCCTACTGACACAGGATGCACAAACAGTATAGTGCCACCAGCCTCCTCCTGGACCATCAGAATAGTGAGATGCATAGATATGCATCTCTACGCATATAGAGATGCATAGATATGCATAGATTCATATCTATGCCCTCTCCTGCCTCTCCTTCTGCAGGGATGGGGATCCTAATGGCATTGCACCTTTGTGTTCCTCTCCTAAGAATATTCTCCTTTGGTCACCCTATGTGTGAATGCCAGGCAGCAAAGTTTATTGGACTCCATCTCTAAGTGACCAGCAAAAAGCCTAGCTGGGACATGACTGAAGTGGTAGAACTCCAGTCGTGAGCAAGAAAGAGAGCTGGAGGCACCAAGTTGCCCCAAGACTGGCAAAACCAAACACAGAGAGAGGGGGGAGGAAGAGAGAGGGGGGGGAGGAAGAGAAAAAGAAGAGAGGAGAGGAGAGGGGAGGGGAGGTACACCTGCCCAGCTAACTGCACATGATGTAGACATTAGCTTTTCTCCTTCTCTGTGAACTATCTCTGCCCTGTGGAGAGCAAATCTCTCCACCCAGGCATGCTCTCACCTACTCAAGCACATGGCTCTAGCAATCTGTCCCATTTTTCTCATCACATCCTTTCCCTCTTCTGTGGCCCAGTCCCATCATTGCATAGATGTACTGTTAAATCTAGCAATCCCTTAGTCAAATAAAAATATGGGCAAGCCCCATGGCCAGCAATTCTACTCTGGGTAATTTCTGCAGGGATTCTCCAGCTAAGGGAATCTGTACAAGTATGCTCACAGCAGCAGTATTTTAGGGATAGAGAGCTGGAGGCAACTCACAGTAGGTAGGAAAAATACAAAGGAAGTCCACTGCAGAGAACCACACAGTGGGTTAGATGTGCAACCCAAAGGCAGACGTTTCAGATGCATGAATAAACAAAATTAAGTTATGTGCTATTTACACAGAAGATATCCTTATCCAGTGCCAATGGTTCACGTTTGTCATCCTAGCTACTCAGGAGGCTGATATCTGAGGATCATGGTAGAAGCCAGCCTAGGCAAGAAAGTCTGTAAGATTCTTACCTCCAATTAACCACAAAAACCTGGAAGTGGAGCCGTGGCTCAGGTGGTAGAGAGCTAACTATGAGTGAAAAAGCCAAGTGAGAACAAGAGGTCCTGAGTTCAAGCTCCAATACTGGCACAAGTGCTTTGCACATGGCAAAGCGTGCGTGTACATGCACACACACACACACATACTACACCCAAAGCAAAAAAATTTAGAACTAAATGGAGAATCTGAGAAATCACGACAACGACTGGAGAGTTCAGTGCTCTTTTTCAATGACACAAGAAAAGATATAAAAGATTTAGAAACCACTATAAACCAATTTGATCTAATTAATATTTATAGAACATTATAAAACAACTGTAGAATACACTTTTTTTTCCCCCAAAAGCACATTCTGTGGTTACCAAGATTTATCAGATGCTGGAGACTCTGACCATAAGGATAAGAAGTTAAATTCAAAACAAGAATTTGAATAGTTAGAAAAATCCCAAGTATCTGGAAACTAAACAATATACTTCTAATAATCTATATGTCAGGGGAGAAAAATTGATTAAGTGAATTTGAATTGACAGTGAAAATGCAGCTTATCTTAATTTCCTGGGCGAAGGCAAAGTTGTGTTTACAGAAACGATATAGCTTTAAATCCCTTTATTAGAAAAAAAATAGAGGGCTGGGCATGTGGCTTAGTGTTAGAGAGCTTGTCTAGCATGCATGAAGCACTGGATTTGATTCCTCAGTATCATATAAACCGAAAAAGCCAGAAGTGGACTGGCAAAAAAGGAAAGAAAATAAATGGTTTGGGAATATGGCATAGTGGTAGAGTGCTTGCCTAGGTTTGATTCCTTGCTACTATGTAAGAAATTAAATAAATAAAAATTTTAAAAAAGAAAACAGATGTAAAACCAATTATATAAACTTTAGATAACCTTTTTAGAATCTAGAAAAAAAGCAAGCTAAATTCAAAGTAAATAGAAGAAGCTAGGTGTGGTAGTCTATGCCTATAATCTGGTCATTTGGGAGAATGGAGGTTTGAGGCTAGCCTAGGTATATGCAAGACCCCATTCTCAATCAACAGCTGAGTACACTGAGGATGGTGAGGGCCTGTCATCTCAGTTATGTGGAAATCTGGGAGTAAAGAGGTTCTAGGCCACCTTGGGCACAAAAGTTCATGATAGTCTGTGTCCATTGTGGCCCATTTCTATAATCTCAGTGATAACACAAAGCCTGGAGTGTGTCCAGGTTCTTGCTTGGGCAGGAAGTGAGACCCTAACTAAAAAATAACTAGTACATAAAAGGGCTTGAGGCATCGCTCAGTGGTAGAGCCCCTGCCTAGAAAGCATGAGGCTATGACTACCAAAAAGCAAAACAATCAGGAGTACAAGAAATAGTCAAAAGAATAATACAGTTCAATGAAAAAGAAAACAGAAAAATCGATGAAGTCATTAAGAAATTAAGTAGATAAGCTATAGACTCAGAAAGCATATGTCAGCACATGTATCTGACAAATGACTCATCTTAGAATATGTAAAGAACTTCTACAAACCAAGAGGAAGACCAGTAACTAAGGATAAGCAAAGATACATGTCCACAAGTCTTGTACAAGGCTATTCATAGTAGCTTAAGCCAGGTGCAGTGGCTTACATCTATAATCCTGGCTACTCAGAAGGCAGAAGTAGGAAGATCATGGTTTGAAGTCAGCCTTTGTAAGTTAGCAGGAGATCCTATTTGAAAAACAAGCTAAACATAAAAGGCTTGGGAGTATGGCTCAAGTGGTAAAGCACTTGCCTAGCAAGTACAAGACCCTAAGACTAATTCCCAACTCTGCAAGATGTTTCACAGTAGTTGTATTTTTTAATTCTGTGACCAGCCCATGAACTCAGGGCCTCATGCTTCTGCTTAGTTTACTTGCTTAGCTAGTGCTCTACTACTCGAGCCATATCTCCAGCCCAGCTTTTTGCTGGCTAACTGGAGATAGAGTTTCACAGACTGTTCTGCTCAGGTTTGCCTTGATACTCCAGATGCCTCCTGGGTGGTTAGAGTTCTAGGTGTGAACTACTGGTATCTGGCCCCACTACAGCTCTATTCTTTTAAAACAATTACTTTATTGTTGTTTCAGAGGTGATATACAGTGGGATTACCTTTACATATATCAGGTAATTAGTACATTTCCTTCCTTTTGCATACTATCGTCTGTTCCCTTCTTCTCTCCCATTCCCTCCCTTCCATCTCCACCCACGTGTTTCTTGGTTCACTTTAATCAATGTCCAGTGCAGCCAGTGAGCTCTATAGCTGCGCTTTTTCACCCGTTTCCCACTGATTCTGTGCCCTCCCCCACCTTCCCTCAGATGTGCACACGTATGCACAGTATATGAAGAATATAGTCATCTGAAAATGAAGAGACTAATTAAGAAATGGTCTTTTGTTTCCTTATCTTTGGAGTTCATTTCAGTGTGCAGATTATTTTATATACATATGAAGAGGCATT